CAATAATTTCTTCGTTTAATGGCAGTTAAATATAAAATCAAATTGAAGCATCATGGGTAACACGAAATTTGAAGAAATAAGTGCACATCCCACACAAGTAACCGCGGTTATAAAGTAACCGTGCCCACATACGAGATTCGAAGGAGGCACGAGCGACTGTAGCTTTGCCCGCAGCTTAGTCATGTAAAGGGTTCATTCAATCCACGAATTATAATCTTGCTTCCTGCTTCTAAGATAATTAGAAGGAATGAAGGGATACATTTGCGACTAAATAAATTTTAGTTTTGCTTTCAAGCCAAGTCATCGGGTAAAATGGGTTCAATTCATAACTAGATGTTTTTTCTTTCCGTGGTTCTCAGCGAAGTCGACGGGAATAAGGTTTCATTGCGCGAATCGATAGATTTTCATTTTTCATTCCTTGCTTCTAATCAAAGATAATTCGTGACCTCAAGGAATCGAGTCAAAAGTTATGTCAGAAAACACTGCCCGCAATCACAGGTTCTTGAAAATACCAAAAAGTTTTTCAGAGAGCTGAACTGGATGCAGGACTGAAAGGGCGTGGTTAATCAACACTGGAAAAATCAAACGACAGAAAAATTTGATACTGGTAAGATATTGATGACTTCTGGTGTTATCTCTTTTTAAAAAATGAGGATACAATAAGGGAATTGAATTTTGAAATGAATACGATTTTGAGTAATGGAGCTGACGTAGAAAATATTTATTGCACGACTGCATCAAACAGCTTCATCGGTGATGAAATTGTACCCGACTTGATACCTATGAACCCATAAAATCGTAAATTTTGAGAAAATATCAATAATGAAGCAGCAAGAAAATTTTTACACGAAGCCCTTAATCTAGGCCCATTGATTAGCGAATATTAATTTTGAAATAAGGCTAGCAAAACTGGACTGGTACAGGGATACAACGAGGCAATCTAAATTAAATTTCGCGGCGAGATTAATTACTCAGATTATATAAGGCCAACTAATGCATTTTTCACGAATTCAGTCACGCACAATCTTCCAAATACCAGCGAATCTCGCATTAAAATTCATTAAATAATTAGAAAGGCCACAAAGATTCTGTCTGCTGGCGAAGTCTGGCCAACATTTTGCTCGCAAGGCAATCACGACAACTTTTATTTTAATATCCTCTGATCAGTGTAGGGGAAAATATGATGAAGAACTACTTGTGTCTCATTCGACTAAATATTTTAAAATGAAACGTAGACTTACGTTACAGCAAGACATGTTAATGAACACATTCACAGTGAACAAACACATTCACCAAAATATGCTTTTCAGTTTTCACGAAGAAAGAATTAGTAATAGCTTCTCAAATAATAAAGGATTGATATTTTGATTAAGTAAGCCTGGTATATTTCGCATTACGTAGGATGCACGGGCAAGATCATTGAAAGAGCATCGATTTTTTACATCTATTCTATCAAATTCGTACCTTGATAGATAAAATGAATAATTTTCAGTGAAAAACGCGCTATCAATAAGATATCAATTTCGAAATTCAATTATGAAAAAATAACATGGTGGACATTTCAATAATAGCGAAATCCGAACGAAAAGCTCGTTTTGGTGACGATTCAGAGCATAAGTAAAATGATTCACAGAGAATTATCACAAGAAATTCTTGGAAGCTGTTCTTTCAAGAATGAAAAGAAACAAGAAAATAGTTGGAAATCGAAAATTGGAAGCAGGCACCTTTAATTGCTTCACAGAGAAGCGAATGACTACTTATAAACAATAAGGAAATTTATAATTTTAAGCAAAAAGGTCTGATATTTTCTTTAAATGGTTCATTATTTTTATACAATTTTACTTGCCTCACTGTTTTTAGTGATTTCTCATGCGTATTAACAAAATTGTTCACTTGAAAAGAGATTTCAGGAAGAAACTAAAAAAATTAATCAAAAGTCCGGTTTGTGGTGCGTCAAAATCGATGAAAAATGGCGATGACAAAACTGATGAAATAAGGTGAAACTTGAAAATTGCAGTAAATAAACATTGAAATCTAAAATAACTGAACTGATAAATTAATCACCTCCTTCACATGATCCCTCTACATTATTGCACTGCTGACAAAATATAATATGTATACATGTCAGAGATAAAGCAAAACATTCAAAACACATCGATGAATGAAATCAGTCAAGAAAATGAAGCGCCACGTTCTAATCTAAGAGATAGAAAATCATTGGTTACAAATTTATTTAAAAGATTCACAGTTTGATTGGCAAGTTGAAAGTCTTAAAATCCGAAAAAGAAGCACTAGCCATGAGCTATTTTAATCTCAATAGTTAAACGCAGAACTTCACTATGTACGAAAACATGAAATTGAAGCAAATCGTCAAGGTGAGAAACTTTGACGTCACCAATACTCATGGTGATGATGCATTAAAGAACTTTGGCACGTAAATAGCTCACTTTGATCATGAAAGCAAAGCCAGGTACACCATCAAAGCTCTTCCAGTTATGGCAATTAGTCAAGCAAAAGTAGAGAGTTGAAATAACAAGAAAAAGCGCTGAATACAAGCAAGAGCAATCACGAGAATCGTTCCATGAAATGAGCTTTTGGTTCTCGAGTATTCCAATTAGTGACTACAAACACTGGTGCCGGTTAATCCGGCGCATTAAATTTTATTTTTACAGGCGACATCAAACAGAAGCAGAAACGTTATAATGAAATTCCTCGGCGAAAAGCATACACTGATTTTTACTTCGTAATGAAGCACGACTCCATTCATAGGAGTCATCAGCAGACATTTAACGGAGATAATCGCTGGTATAGTCCGGCCCGACAGAGAATGATCAGCCAAGGTTCAACTTTTATCAAGCTATAGGTTAGTCGCCGCAGAAATCACTTTCCCATGCTAGAATGGCACGGGATTCCGATGCAAAGTTAGGCCGCCCCTGGATAACTCAGAATTCTCGCCGTCACCGCCGGCATCACAGGAGCATCCAACTTCAGGTCGGCCAGATGATGGCAAAGTTGGTCCAGATGAGACAGTTGGATGAACTACTCTAGTTCCCGTACTCTGTTGCTGATTGCCATGATTTTCCACGAAAGGCAAATGGAACGCGGAAAAATTCTTCAAATCACAGCACGGGCAGAGTCCAATGAGGAAATTAGAGTGCGCTGTTCGCAACACAGTCAGGTAGAAAATCACTCAATGTTCTTGGTTCATATGCATGCAGAGTCACAATATGGCGAGAGCCGCCACTCCATGTTCTCAGTAACACGAAATAATTCATGACGCGGCGCAATACAAACCACATGCACAGAACCTCCCAAGTATTCTCGATACACGCGCATGATGAATTTTTAAGCCAGAAAATAACAGTGAAGCCAATCCCGAAGAAATTGATACAACAAAGCAAAGAATGATTGCGGCGGAAGTCGGGATACGAGCCGAGAAGAGAATGGCATATTGAGCTGCAAATGCGTCACCTTGTGCGTGACATAACATTATATTTCCCCACGTAAGACATGTACTGGGATGGATATTCAGCAATAAATCGACGAAAACTCGGGACAAAATAGAAATAGTCTAGAATAAAAGTTTCGAACTGCTTCACAAACTCTATGATTCACTGGCATCTTATTATAGATTCGAAATTGGCACTTGTGTACGAGGCTTAAAATCGGTGGCTTTCTCCAAGTTTAGCCCGATTTTTATTGAGTCTGAACAAGAAAATAAAACAAGCTATGGAGATCATAAGAAACGTATAAGCAAGTACATAAAAACGAATGAGGCGAAGTAAGTCGTACATTTTGAATTTCAACGGAGCTTCAGAAATGCTCACTAAGTTTATATCAACAGACGGAAAAATTGGTTAATTCTTATCGGCGAATCTGATTAATGACGATTAATAATTTAATTATAATGATGAATAAGGTAGGTAATATGAAACGTGCATTATACGGTGTTAAGAATACTAAGAATGCGGGTCGAAGCGATATAGCAAGTGTGTAAGACGCCGTAATAAAGCCACTTCGAAAACGAAAACCTGACGGAATTAAAGCAATTGACGATCGAGCGATAAACCCATAATATACAGTCGACAATAATAAAGTTAAGTTTCCATAAAAACTTTAAGAAAAAACTATTTACTAGTCAATGAAAGTCTTTGAAGCCTAGCCCGTCTCATCCAGCGAAGTCTAAGCAGGAAATCGTTCTAGATCACCCATTCTTTTTCTGCACATTTTTACTTTGTATATCTGATGATCAACAGTCATATTTTAGCACTCCACAAATGAAGTTGGAATGATTTCTTTAAATGAAATAGTAGGCTCTCATAGATGGCAAGCTTCGCCCAGATTAAAAAAGTGTTATCAGTCACTCAAAAAATAGCATGAGGCTTTTATAGATAAAACAATGCAAAAGAAAAAAAAATTGTCTCAGTTCTGTTATGCCAATTACCAAGTCAGTTGGAGCTATCGTTATAAATGAACGACACATGGAAGCGTACCGTTTTAGATGGTAATTTATATGAGATAGACAAGAAAGTTACACTGGGAAATAGCAAGATGAAACACCTCTAGTTGTATGATACATTGATCATTATTAATTAGTGGTACGCGTGTGCAATTCATGTGATGCATAAACACTTTTTGAGTATAAACGATTTATAGTTTTTCAAACATCAGAATCAGAAAATATTACCCGGGACGAAGGTGACCCAGACATCAGACGACCCAGACGTAGACGACCCAGACGTAGACGACCCAGACTTAGACGACCCAGACTTAGACGACCCAGACGTAGACGACCCAGACGTAGACGAACTAGACAACGACTCAGGCGTAGACGACTCGACGTAAGCGAATTAGACAACTCAGACTTAAACGACCTAGACGACCCAGCCGGAAACTATTTAGACGTAGAAGACATAATTAAACTATACTCAGACGTAGACGATTTAGTCGCAGACTACCTGGAAGGAGAATAACTAGTCGTAAACGACAAGTTGACTCACCGGCAATCTCGAGCGTGGCGTTGTTAGAGATGACGGTGCCGACATCACTGGAGGCCTCACACCAGTACACGCCAGCGTCATCCTCCTTCTTGCTGTGCACCACGCGCAGGAAGAACAGAGACCCCGTGGGCAGCAGCACGCGCTGGCTCTTCGGGTCGCTCGGTGATGTCCTGCATACAGAAGTAAATTATGCAGCGTTAGAGTATTAATTTTCAACGTGTAGACAGAAATAATTCAACGTTCGTGTACAAATTCAAAATGAGTATAAGGAAATAATGAAAATTCATGTATGAATTATAAGGAGTCAAACTCTGAATACAGGCATAAAGCATTATCCATGTATATACAGTGGGGGGAAATAAATATTCGTACACTTGAAAAATCGTATTTTAATGTATGTAAGTACACAAACTTAACAGGAATGGAAAATAATTTGACGACTTCTGTTGAGAAACTAGAGCTACCTGGTGATTGGATTTTCCAGCAGGATAACGATCCTAAGCATACTGCAAGATCCACAAAGAAATGGTTCGCTGATAGAAATGCACACGTTATGGAATGGCCAAGCCAGTCGCCGGACTTAAATCCGATTGAAAATTTGTGGCGGTATTTGAAGATTCAAATTAAGAAAAGGTCCCCAACAAACATTGAGAATCTTAAGGTGGTGTGCCAAGAAGAATGGTGTAAAATACCAGTCAGCATCTGCAAATCATTGGTCGAGACGTATAGAAATAGACTGGTGTCTGTTGAGCTGAATAAAGGGTATTCAACCAGGTATTAAATTAAAATAATGCGGATTTATTGTTTTGTACGAATACTTTTTTCACCCGAAGAAGTGAACATGTTGCATTGTTTTTTGTTGCATTGAGATTTAATTTCTTTTGATAGTATTTTTGAATACTATGCGTCTCTATACATAATTTAAATCACTTTTCCTGTTAAGTTTGTGTACTTACATACATTAAAATACGATTTTTCAAGTGTACGAATATTTATTTCCCCCCACTGTATCATCAACAAGCGACGATCTGCATACAGAAATAATGCAATTTTAATGTATAACAAATGCCTTCTTGTATACAGAAATAATTCAACATTCATTTATAAATTATCAACGAGCGACGAACTACAAACAGAAATAATGCAATATTCATGCATAAATTTTCTAGGAGAGGTGACATTAGATGAGCAAAGTTACATATACAAGCTATCAAGAAGTAACATCACTCGCGGTGGGAAATTCACGCGGCAGCAACGACGCAAGCGCTTAAGACTATAGCAAGAAACCACGCGAAATTTTTCGCGGTTTGTGTTGTAAAGTAATACAATAGCCAGTCTAGTTTGAGCAAAAATAGAAAATTTGTTATAGTTACAGAATGGTGTTGGGGTCTATTCAATAAATAAGCAAACAAATTCTGATTTCCCCAACTTTTAATAGATAACTATAATAATAAACAAATGACGGATACGAGAATACAAATAAATAAACCGCGAATTTCCTTAGCACTTCTAACTCCGGCCTCAGGTTTCGGAGCCTCTCTGAAAATGCATAAATAAACAAATTACAGACACTAACGAATCAGAATATAATGCATACATGGCGAAAATAAGTAACATATTAATACAAGTAATGATATTCATAATCACCTATATATAAACCACTGGATATATGTATACATGATAATCACAAGAATAACCAGACAATACCTACACGCACCTCTGTGGTGGGATTCCCATACAATGACGAAATACAAAGCGCATCTAAATGATGTCACGTCAAAGGTGAATCAAAACGCTAAACGATAAATTTCAAGAGTCTGATTGCAATCCCTTACAATGGTTTTCTACGATTGAAAAAAATTGCATCCACACGAGCAAGTGAAACGAATAGTGTTGTGGCTGTCACATTCATTCAATAATAACAGTTTCAACTTTTTAGGTTGAATAACTCCGCAAATGCTTCATGCTATTACATGTAATGAAATAGTCATACAACTTTAGACCAGTTACGAAAACAAAGTTCAAAACGAATGATGCGGAGGGAAGTACAAGTGAAGTATCTTAACTAACAACGTATCCTTAGACTATGAACCGTGTTAGCTCTCCTGAAAAATTTTCGACTGCTCAGAAATAAAAAAAAAACTTGATAAGTATGGACATATAAAGAGCGGAAGCTATAAAGACAGCATTTCCTAGAAAATACACATTTCTGTAAAACAGAACAAATCGTCTACAAAGATTGCACAAGATTACGTTTCGGAATGCAATTTGACGCAATATTTCAGCGCCTCCGTTTCACACCGCAAAATATTTCATGAACTTTTCACTGCCACTTGCCCAGGTAAGTACGGAAGAACTAAATTCCGCGACTATGAGAGCGACTGTTTATAACCCAAATACTTTGCAGCATAACGAGGCTTGAGCGAATAAGAATCTGTAAAAAGAGAAATATTGTGCGGTTGTCTCGCGAGCAGTAATTTCCCTAGAGCCGGCGAGATAGAGTCATCAGTTGACGCTCGTCCAATATTCTCAAAACAACAACTCCCCACTGCATAATAAATCCTTCCTCAGGCTGGCAGGTCCGCGGCGAGCAGCGGCATCGGAGGCGCGTAACAAAATCCCTGATTTAGAACCAGCGATGTGGATTACGAGGGTGAAAGGTCATTAAGCATTGTTTATGATTAGCCATTAGCTCGCGAGGTTATAAGTAATACACTGCTGTAATTCACGAAGTTTTTAACCGTTTTAACAAGAATTAAGTACCTACCTACCAATACGTACACAACAAGCTGTGATAGCGAGTTACGATGGGTAAATTCAAATGTATTTAAAGTGAACGCTCATACACATAAATAAAATATGAAGAAAATTGTCCATGCACGAAAAATACGGGACAAAATAAAATCCCCACAAAATATATTGAATAGAAAAGAAACGATACGTAAAAACGACAGAAAAAAACTAGCCGTCGCACAGGTGGTCAGGAATCCGCGCTACGATCACGATTCGCTTGTTGGAGCAGGATTTGTGATCGTGTACGAGTGTAACCGATCGTACAACAAGATCAGGCCAAGAGGGCGCACTTCAAGCCAGTGACAGTCACCATTAGTCATGTAACAGCCGGTCTGAGGAGCGTGCAATGTTAACGCGGTTTAGTCATCAAGCAGCAAACAAGGCTCGTCTGCGAGTAGACAGAGCGGTCCATGCAAACACCGTCTGAACCTAAGGAGTCAGCAGAACATTGAACAAGGGGCGCCATAATTTAGGAGAGCATGTATTAAGCCGAGAGTATCGGGGTGTCAAATTAACTCGTGTAAAGACACATGACCTGGTGTCTGGCTACACTGCTAACTGCTCCCAGCACAGCCTCTAACATAGAGCGCTTTCTGCACTGGATTCTCTGAAACGAACTTAAGTAAAATAATTTCGCCAAGAATTAACCCAAGACAGATGAACCACCGACAGCTGCGTGAGGAACTTGAAAGAATTGAGCGATCAAAAGACCAAAAACGAGGAGCTTCGAGCTCAGCCCAAACTGGAAGAAGCGCGGTCTTTTCATTTTTTTGGCGCCTGGTAAAAGAATTCATGGTCTCGCGGTTCCGTCAGTGTAAGGGCCTTAAGGAGCAAAGAAGCAGAAGTGAGCGTATTTTCCGCGGCATGCGAACTGAATTTCCAAAGCAAGGAGCCGAGTTCGGTGAGCCAAAGACGTTCTCTTTGAAGAGTCTCTGCCCACTTTATTAGCCAGAAGAACGACCAGGAGAATCTCGACTCAGCTCTTCACGAGGTATTTCTGAGAACTTCATCCAGCACCAGATTGGAAAAATGCGGAAAACGGTAGGAATTTTCGCCAAAGTTAGATATTGCGGTACAGAAGCATGCATCGTCCGACAGTTGTTTTGTGCACCGTAACATAATGCTGGAACTTGGAGCACTTACGTATAAGTGAGCGATTCTTTTTGATGCTCCCAATACATGTCGCATGAGCACGGCTCATTGAAGACATTGACGGTCGGAAACTGATGCTATTCGTTTCCAAATTGACGGATAATTTAATAGAATCGTGCACATGTTCATTATGATTCATAAAGAATTTAAGCCATTTTCGTCGTTTTTTTAACAGTAGTTCAGTGGATGATACTTGCGACCAGAAACTGTAATAATATTGAGAGTCCTTACTAAGACATTGAATAATTTGACTACCATGTTTAAGCATCAACGGTTTGATGGGCAAAACATGGTTTCAGTGTCGAAGGCGTCAAGAGCAATTATTTAGATATATTTAAAATGCAACTTCGAAGTATGCATTTTTTTCAACTAAACGAGGTGCTTAAGTTTCGCCAGTCAATTAATGAATCGCTGTTTGGATAAATTATCACTTTTTTCTGTGAGTGTACCCTTATATTAATTACGAATTTATTGATTTAATTAGTTAAAAACTGAATAAAAACGATTGTGATCATTACAGTATTTTAATACTGCCACCACCAAAAACAGATAAGTAAGACAATGTTTGTTATTAGATGGTCATTGAATTGTATTAAACAATTATTGTTATTTTATTTAGCTGTTTTTTTTATTTAATTCCGTCTTCTATCAACATTAAGTGGTCAAAAATTTCTAACAAAACAGAATATAAATTTGATCAACCGAAGATAAAACTTGAACAACCGAAGATTGAAAATTGATCAACCGAGGATTGAAATTTGTTCAACCGAAGATTGGAAATTGAACAACCGAAGCTTCAAGACACCGAAGTTTGAAGAAAGAAGCGACACTAATGCAGCACATTGCTTAGCTACTTTTATAAAGCACCAGACCATCGTACCCGAATAAATTGTGTGGACAGACAATTGATAAATGAAATCTTGAAAGAATGCGAAAACAAGAAGAAAAGATACAAACACAACGCAAATAAATATACATATTGCATACATCGGCAGATTTGATTTCTAAATTTCATAAACGTTTGTATGTAATAAGGGGATATATAAATACATGCCAGAGCATAATACATAGAATATTCTTTTCGAAAAATTAAATTCTAGAATTGTGATTTTCCTGAAATCTAAACGAGCGCCTTCGCAACTAGTTGTCGTACTATCCAAACTCGCGGTAGTACGAAGCGGCCTAAGTACACGTAGCGGCCGAATTCTCGTCTGTGATTGGTGGGTTTAGCTTGAAAAGCCCTTAATGATGAGCTGATGATGGAGTTACGAACTCGTAACTATTTTAGATAGTACGACCAATGATAAATTATTTAAGTACGAAGAAATTGTCCATGCATGAACATGACAATTTCGCTCACCTGACGAGCTGTCCGTCTTTGAACCAGCGGATGGTGGGTGCCGGCTTGCCCTCCGCCTTGCAGTTCAGTGTCGCCGGCTCGTTGCGGGGGACGGTCATGTCGGTCGGGTGCTCCGTGATGCGCGGCGACCGGTACGAGCCTGCAAACATAATAAACGAAAATATAACTCATGACGATAATTAAAATTATTTTTCGAAGAAAAGAGTTTACTCATGGCATTTCGACTACAACATCAATTGAACTGATGATTATGAAAAATTTTCTTCAAGAGTTTAATCATGGCAATTACACTAAAATGGCGATGGGAACTATTTTGGCAGCAAAATTTGGACGGCAAAGAGTGAGGGAATATATCATGTTGGCAGCAGTTACCAGCCTATCATATATTGATATACACTCTTGCATTTCATAGATGATTATTCGCCAAAGATATATCGTAACTACAGTAAAAGCCAATGCATGGAAATCATTTCTAAGATGCTGAGTAAGCCACCAAATGAACAATATACACTAAATAATAAATAACCGATAAATACAAACAATTCAATTCAGTCAAATGAATAATTTTGATTGTGACCAGTCTAAGTGTTTCTTGAAACTTATTTAGGACTTTCCAAGCAATATGAATCACTTCGTGAAATGAAGTAAATGCGACATTTACTCATGCATAAAAGAATATGCATTTGAAATATCATAACATGGTCATACCGTATACTAAAGTTCTAACTCAATATTACTTTGATGATCGCAGTCTTTTCAATGGACGAACTGATATATATTCACTGATGTTCACATTGAAAAGGCTCAGATAGATGGTGATCTGATGTCATCAATCGCTCGGGAGTCTCGACATAGATCGCTGTCGCGGATAACTGATCGGAGCCAGATTACAGCGGCCATATTGCCTCATGCAAGGCCAAACATACTATATAAAAAAATAGAGAATTAATAGCCGTTTAGGTTCTACCCCTAAATAGGATTTTACAAGCGCTATTAAAATAACATAATATAATATAAAGTAATATACAGAAATTAATACAATAAAATATATATTACAATATAATTTAGGTTACTATAACATAGTATAATGCTGCAAAATACGACGATATGACAGTATTACTGTCGCTTCAAGTTTATTCAACGTGAAAAAAATGAACGTCATTAAAGGTAAAGTCGAAATATTAGGCGAATATATTAAGAAAAACGGGATTTAGTAGCAGAACTCTAATAGAATTTAGAATTGTAGCATGTCATATAATATCAATAAATTACTTATGGATGGTATAATTACGTATATTATATACGATCCATAAATTACAGGACAAGGTTAAACAAAAAAATAAAATAAAATGGTTTGGGTCAAAATGCGCGTGTGCCAATCTGTCAACCAACTTGATTAAATTCCAAAGACCGAGTCAAATCTGCAAAGGCAAATGGATTCACTATTCGGTCACGGTAATTTTTATATTTATTCATAAGTAGAGAGTTCATTCTTATTCACTTGAAAATAAAAAGTTACTCGAGAATACTTAAATTATAGAAACACACAATCATTAGAATGTTCTGAAATTTGTTGGAGGTCGGTAAGACAGTAGAGCGGTTCCAATGCATTAATGGCACTTAATTGAATGAAGAATGTATTCCAAAGGGACGAGCTAGAATTACATTAAAATTTTAATTGTCGGATAGATACGAAGCCGAACCTATCAGGAGCACCATCAGCCAGAAATGAAATGAATATGCCCGGAAAATTGCAGAATCGTGCGAGAATTCAAAAATGTGATTCGTCGTACTTATATGGGAAGTGTTCATGATAGATAATTACAATTTCTACAACTTTTGTAGAAAAACAATGAAATACGAATGTAAAGTAACAATCTTACAGTAGTATGGAAATCAAGTCGGTAATCACACTACATTCCTCTTTGAAACTCGAATATTTAAAAAAAGGTGCAGGAGGCAAGTAATTGAAAAAAAATTGTTTTAGAGAACTCATCCTAACAGGGGTAACGAAGATTCGATAAATACGCTTATACGTATACAAAATGAAGATTCCCGTAAAGCAGCAACAAATCTCCCCAGCCCTCCTCAATCACCTCAGCGGCCCACACAACAAATTCCGCAAGCACAAAACATTCTGAAGAGAAGCACAATATATAGTATTGGTTATGAGGCGCTGAGAGCACGTCTCTCAGGGAATGTCAGTAAATCAGCCCTTGATGAAGTTATCGGGCGGAGAAGGCACGCGCTCTGCAGTGGCGATCATTGCAGAGTTATGGCTCGCGCCAGAGGAGTTATTGGCTCCGTGTAATAGAGTTAGCACGCCGATGGCTGTGACGGATGGCTTCAGGTCTTCAATCAACATCACGCACTCTAAAAATTCCCATGGTATTTCTGAATTCCGTTCATATCATTCAGAATGCGGGTAAAATTAAGAAATTTCGTTTTGATGTTCTCCCAAACAATGATGTTTTTCGTGATGATTGTGAAGAGAAAAGAGAGCGATTCGTGATAAGAGATGGAATTCATTATAATCGAGGTACAGAAAGACCAAGCATAAATATGTGGGCATGTATAGCCCCAACCCGTTGACCCATAGAATGTTAGATGAGGCTAGATAGAGCGCCGGGATATACATATATCTATATTGGGACGACTATCAATTATTTCAACACGACTACTTAAAAGTTTTTGTCGATAATTAAATTTTCTCCTTAGATAAGCAAACTTTGATGATAAATGTAGAAAAAATGGAATATAATACAATTTTAGGCGGCCATTTTTTTCAAGTTTTAATTCATATTCGACGCTTCACTCGATTAAAGCTTGAGTGACAATTTAAATTGCATCATTTCCATAGTCTTCTTTTCATTGAATTTCCAGCTTTCACTCTCATGCCAGGCAAGCACAACCTCCTGATGAATACCTGATGCAGCAATTACCGGACACGATGAAGAGCGCTTCATAAATTTAAATCTCATTTCGATGCATTCGGATCATTGCAATAAAAAAAATAACAAAGCTAGACGGCGAACGCATGGCAAATATTTTTGCATGGTAAACAATTTTTGTCTGCTAACGTTCAGTGACATAACCTATTAAAAAAGGATACGTGGACTTATAATACTGTATAGTATTTATACTAGATTCATGCTCGAGTCGCCTTCTGATTTTAAAAAGAATACGTGAAATCAATTCAAGTGGAATGAATATGCAGGTCGAGAAATCAATTATTCATGAACATTAATTAGGCTATCGATCAGCACCGCTGTATACCATGGCGTAGATTTGACCCTATATTTGCACTACAAATCTAGAAATGACGTCAGCAATATGCTAACGATGCTTTCATAGGATATATTAGTCAAAATGGAGTTCAAGTCTTCATGTACTGGCGCAAAGTTTTGTCCGCAAAAATGTATGGCGAGACCATCGGTTCTCTTACCACGCACCAGCCGTGGTGTCAATCAAGATTCTCGCATTCGCTGCATTTAACAATGTTTGAATGTATAATTTTGCGACAGCAGTGATGAGGATTATGCTCAGAATGTTTACTGTTAACTCGTATCTTTAATAACAATGACAATAGAAAAACGATTGCTGAAAAAATTATACTTAAAAAAAATCGCAGGAAATTGAGTTGAACAACCAAGTGTGTTGGACGTGGAAAACTCAGGATATAACTTTCCAGTGAGCTTGATCTAACAGCCCAGTTCCATCTCTCTCTTTCCTCGTATTGCACAAGCGGAAAGCTCTTAGCTTGGAGCTCAAACAAAAGTTTCCACTCCCAGCCAAGATGTCACAAGTATAAGGGCTTTAAAAAGATTATCCGCAAATTGCTGAGACAAAATCCGGAGCAACTCGTTACGTCCTTAATGACGCACGACTGTCAGAAGCCAAACAGGGAGCGCAGAACGGAAAGGCAACTCAACTCGACTTGTTTCTCATATAAGCCAACGCTCATAAGTTAACGCTTGGCCTCGCGCTATTACTTATTTATACCAACACGTAAACATGGATAGAAAACTTCGCATCACTGAGAAGGCATCACTCAGCACCAGACTTCTTAATTTATTTATTCTTCAAGGAGAGGCAAAACTTGAGAAAAGGCCAAATTTGGCTCTTAAGAAACTTGTGAAGGAATTTATTCTGATGATGGTCCTAACTTACGTGGCAGATCCCGAAAATTACGGTCTGTAAGTCTCCCATGATTATTCACCTCGCTAGTAAGAATTGGGATAAAATGCGTGAATAAAAATATACGTACAAGCTGCCAGTGGAAGGATTAAATGTCGATTTCGAAATTTCCCATATTCTTCACTAAATTGTGTACAGTGTAAAATAATTTAGTAATAATATAATAACATTTATGATAATAATATCAAGTTTAAATAATTTAGTCACAAATGCTTTCTTCAATCACATTACTAACCACCCCCACCTTCCAAAAAAATCAAAATTGAAAATCGAAATATACCAGTAAATCTTCCGCCTTCACACAGCAAACACTAATGTAGCAAACCAAATGAGATTCCGAACCAAAAAGCAGGGAAAAATGAGATCGAGTAAGAATCTTTAGAAACCGTTCAAACTTCCGGCAGGAAATTTTCACATACGAGGTCCCGACAATTAAAGTTTTAGACTTGACAGGCCCATTGCGATATTAATTGATCTGCTTAATGGACTCCATTACAGAGATGAACTCAAAACACGAGGAAAGCCAGGCCAGTCGCAACTCTGATCGATCGAGCGCTCCTCTATTCAAGCCAGCAGAGCTTGGAGCGCGTCTTTGTGTGTAATTACTTGTTCCTCAGAAGGAAAGATTTCAATATATTACTACTTCAATGCATTACTACTTCAATATATTATTACTTCAATACATCACTACTTCAATACATTACTACTTTAATATTTTAAAACTCGAAATTTAACTACTTCCTGATACAACCATCGAAATGGTAACGCCGATAGATTATTAAAATGTGGTATAAACGGATGTAGAATTTAAAAAAAAGAATATATTCTGTTGAGGTAAGGAAGAAGCAGCAAGAGTTTTGGTATCAAAGAATGCAATGGCAATAAATAACGAAATGGTCTAATATAAGTACCAATTTCACAAATTTGTAACTGAAAGTTTGC